GACTGAGGTATTTCAATTTGAGAAGGAACACAGCATACAATCCTACCTTTAGACAGCAGATGGTGCAAAAGTATAAATATTCCTATTACAAAATATATCCAGTGATAAAATAGCTGATTTATGGTGATGCTAAAAGTAAATTGACCAAATATAACCACCCCCATCTGATTGATGTGGACTATAACTCACATAATGCTTGTCAGCCACAAAGAAAGTAACGAACAAAATGTTGATATAGCATGACATTTTATCAAAATAGTAAGCCTAATCTGTACGTTGTCCTAAATACTGAACCTAAGTTTCTCTTTATGCAGTTACTTGGCGTTAGTGGCAAATAATTGGAAAATTAAATGATGGCTTGCTTCCAGACTGGGTTATTCTGTGTAGCCCCCTTCTGGATCAACCACTGATCCCCATCTGGACTTACAGTGAGGGGGAAAAGTATTTGATCCCCTTGCTTATTTTGAACGTTTGCCCACTGACAAAGAAATGACCAGTCTATAATTTTAATGCTAGGTGCATTTTAACAGTGAGAGACAGAATAACAAAAAAAGAAATCCAGAAAAACACAGGTCAAAAAAGTTGTACAATGATTTGCATGTCAATGAGTGAAATAAGTATTTGACCCCTTCGACTTAGTACTTGGTGGCAAAACCCTTGTTGGCAATCACAGAGGTCAGACATTTCTTCTAGTTGGCCACCAGGTTTGCACACATCTCAGGAGGGATTTTGTCCCATTCCTCTTTGCAGATCCTCTCCAAGTCATTAAGGTTTTGAGTCTGACAATTGGCAACTCAAACCTTCAGCTCCTTCCACAGATTTTCAATGGGATTAAGATCTGGAGACTGGCTAGGCCACTCCAGGACATTAATGTCTTTCTTCTTGAGCCACTCCTTTGTTGCCTTGGCTGTGTGTTTTGGGTCATTGTTATGCTGGAATACCCATCCACAACCCATATTCAATGCCCTGGCTGAGGAAAAGAGGTTCTCACCCAAAATGTGACGGTACATGGCCCCGTCCATCGTCCCTTGGATGCAGTGCAGTTGTCCTGTCCTCTTAGCAGAAAAAGACCCCAGAGCATAATGTTTCCAACTCCATGTTTGACAGTGGGGATGGTGTTCTTGGGGTCATAAAAGTTAGTGAGGCAAACATAGAGTCCGTTTGGGTTACGTTAGAATTTGGTAACCAAACAGTAACTCGTGTAGGTGTGATTTATAGGCCTCCAGGACAAATTGAAGAGTTAGATAATCTACTAGTTGAGGAAATAGCTAAAATGACAACGAAGGGGGAAGTTATCATCATGGGTGACTTTAATCTTCCTGATGTAAATTGGAAAACAAAATTAGCTACTTGTGCCAGGAGCACACATATTCTAAACTCCCTACTGGGATTGTCTCTAAAACAAGTTGCTGAGGAGCCAACTCGTAAAGAAGCCATACTAGATTTAGTGTTAACAAATGGAGATTTGGTATCAGATATTACTGTAGGTGAAAGTTTAGGATCCAGTGATCATCAGTCAGTGTGGTTTAATATAAGAACAGTGACTGAGTCACATCACACAAAAACAAAAGTTTTAAAATTAGAATATGGGTAGAGGAGTCATTATCAGATTGGAGCAATTTAAATGAAGTCCAAGAGAAATGGGATTATTTAAAAGTTGCACTATTGAAGGCAACAGAAAATTGCATTAGGCTTGTAAGTAAAAGCAAAAAATTCAAGAAACCACTGTGGTACTCCACAGATGTGGCCAAAATAGTTAAAAACAAAAAGTTAGCATTTAGGAATTATAAAAAAAAACCCAGAGTGAGGAAGACAAAATAATCTATAAGATTAGGCAGAAAGAGGCTAAGCAAGTTATAAGAGCTTCCAAATCACACACAGAAGAGAAAATAGCACAGTCAGTAAAAAAGGGGGATAAAATTTTTTTTAGATACATGAATGAGAAAAGAAAAGTAAAACAAGGATTAGTTAGATTAAAAACAAAAGAAGGAAGGTATGTAGAAGAGGATAAAGGTCTAGCTGACTGCCTCAATGAATATTTTTGTTCTGAAAAAAGGATAAATGAGTCATTTATTACACGTGAGTTTACAGAGGAAGAGGTTCTATTTCAATTGTCAAAAGTAAAGACAAATAAGTCAATGGGACCTGATGGAATACACCCAAAGCTATTAAAAGAGCTTAGTGGTGTACTAGCAAAACCATTAACAGATTTATTTAACCAATCATTGTTAACAGGAGTAGTCCCAGAAGATTGGAAGTTAGCGAATGTTGTGCCCATTTACAAGAAAGGTAATAGGGAGGAGTCAGGCAACTATAGGCCAGTAAGCCTTACTTCAGTAGTAGGGAAAGTGATGGAAACCATGTTAAAGGATAGGATTGCTGAACATCTAAAATCACATGGATTTCAAGATCAGAGACAACATGGGTTTACTTCAGGGAGATCATGCCAAACTAATCTTATTGATTTTTTTGACTGGGTAACTAAAATTATAGATCAGGGTGGTGCAGTAGACATTGCTTACCTAGATTTCAGTAAGGCTTTTGACACTGTTGCACATAGAAGGCTTATCAATAAACTGCAATCTTTAAGTTTGTATTCCAATATTGTTGAATGGGTAAGGCAGTGGCTGAGTGACAGGCAACAGAGGGTTGTAGTTAATGGAATATATTTGAAGCTTGGACTTGTCACCAGTGGGGTACCTCAGGGATCTGTACTTGGACCCATTCTCTTTAATATTTTTATTAGTGATATTGCAGAAGGTCTTGATGGTAAGGTATGTCTTTTTGCTGATGATACTAAGATATGTAACAGGGTTGATGTTCCAGGAGGGATAAGCCAAATGACAAATGATTTAGGTAAACTAGAAAAATGGTCAGAATTGTGGCAACTGACATTTAATGTGGATAAGTGCAAGATAATGCATCTTGGACGTAAAAACCCAAGGGCAGAGTACAGAATATTTGATAGAGTCCTAACCTCAACATATGAGGAAAGGGATTTAGGGGTGATTATTTCTGATGACTTAAAGGTAGGCAGACAATGTAATATAGCAGCAGGAAATGCTAGCAGAATGCTTGGTTGTATAGGGAGAGGTATTAGCAGTAGAAAGAGGGAAGTGCTCATGCCATTGTACAGAACACTGGTGAGACCTCACTTGGAGTATTGTACACAGTACTGGAGACTGTATCTTCAGAAGGATATTGATACCTTAGAGAGGGTTCAGAGAAGGGCTACTAAACTGGTTCATGGATTGCGGGATAAAACTTACCAGGAAAGGTTAAAGGATCTTAACATGTATAGCTTGGAGGAAAGACGAGACAGGGGGGATATGATAGAAACATTTAAATATATAAAGGGAATCAACACAGTAAAGGAGGAGACTATATTTAAAAGAAGAAAAACTACCACAACAAGAGGACATAGTCTTAAATTAGAGGGACAAAGGTTTAAAAATAATATCAGGAAGTATTACTTTACTGAGAGGGTAGTGGATGCATGGAATAGCCTTCCAGCTGAAGTGGTGGAGGTTAACACAGTAAAGGAGTTTAAGCATGCGTGGGATAGGCATAAGGCTATCCTAACTATAAGATAAGGCTAGGGACTAATGAAAGTATTTAGAAAATTGGGCAGACTAGATGGGCCGAATGGTTCTTATCTGCCGTCACATTCTATGTTTCTATGTTTCTATATGCAGAATTCCTCCTCCTCCAAACACAGCAAGTTGAGTTGATGCCAAAGAGCTTGATTTTGGTCTCATCTGACCACAACACTTTCACCCAGTTCTCCTCTGAATCATTCAGAGGTTCGTTGGCAAACTTCAGACTGGCCTGTACATGTGCTTTCTTGAGCAGTGGGACCTTGCGGGCGCAGCAAGATTTCAGTCCTTCACGGCGTAGTATGTTACCAATTGTTTTCTTGGTGACTATGGTCCTTGACCTCATTAACAAGATCCTCCCGTGTTGTTCTGGACTGATTCCTCACCGTTACTCCACGAGTTGAGATCTTGCATGGAGTACCAGACCGAGGGAAACTGACTGTTATTTTGTGTTTCTTCCATCTGCGAATAATTGCACCAACTGTTGTTACCTTCTCACCAAGCTGCTTGTAGCCCATTCCAGCCTTCTGTAGGTCTACAATATTGTCTCTTACTAAACAAGGGGCTGGCTGCACTCACCTAAACGTGCATAAATAGGGTGCTGCTGGGAGCCAACAAGTATAATAAAAATGAAAATCCAGCGCACTCTCTTATCTACTAAACAGCAACTTTGGTGCTGACCAACATTTTGTTAGTTTTTTAAAAACCCCTAATCTAGGCAAAAAATAATGGCCTGCCACAGCGTCAGATTTATTTACAAAGTCCTGTGAGTGCACCTTCCCTGATACCTATATTTTGGCATAAGTGATTTGCAGCCAGGCAAGGACAAGACTGGGAGAGTGAGTGCTGGATCCACATGTATATGTATGTATATATATATGTGTGTTTATATATATATATATATATATATATATATATATATGTGTGTGTGTGTGTTTATATATTATATATAATACAAACAATACATGGCACAATGACTTATGGGGCTGGCATGTTTTTTTTTCTTTTTCCAGGGCTGCTTTGTATCCACAATCTGGCCCTGCACACTGCCCTTCACATTACCAGTAATCTACAACTAATAATCCACACTGCCTGAACAACATGCTCCTTATTAAGGATGTGCATGGGCAAATAGTTTGGTTAGTTTTGGAACTTCCGAAATTCGGGACTTCGGCAATTCCCTAAGCCTAACCCTACCCCAACCCCCCAACCCTAACCCTAGGGTTAGTAGTAACCAGTGGCGGATCCAGAGCCTGATCTCGGGAGGGGTACTTGTAGATTATTTAAAGAAATAATCCATACACAATAACCACTACAGCTCAGTGTAGTGGTTATGGTGTCAATAGTGCCGGGACCCCCTCCCACAGTAAGTGGTCAAACCGTTTAAGAACAGTTTGACAACTTACCTGAGATCTGCTGGGAAATGGGGCTGTAGTAGGGCATAGGAGCAGTGGTGTGTGTGAGTGGTGCAATGTGTAAGGGGTGCAGAGGGTGTGTGAAGGTTGTAGTGTGTGAGTGAGGGCGGCAGTGTATGTCAGGGATGCAGTGTATGTGTGGGACAGTATGTGTGTGTAACAGTTGCAGTGTGTGTATGGGGGGCAGTGTGTGTGTATGGGGGCAGTATGTGTGTATGGGGGCAGTTTGTGTGTATGGGGGCAGTGTGTGTGTGTGTATGGGGGAACAGTGTGTGTGTATGTGGGGACCGTGTGTGTGTATGAGGGGCAGTTTGTGTGATAGGGGGCAGTTGTGTGTGTATGTGCGGGCAGTTTGTTTGTGTATGGGGGCAGTGTGTGTGGGGCAGTGTGTGTGTGGGGGGCAGTGTGTGTATGTGTGGGGGCAGTGTGTGTGTGTATGGGGGGCAGTGTGTGTGTATGGGGGGCAGTGTGTGTGTATGGGCAGTGTGTGTGTATGGGGGCAGTTTTGTGTGTATGGGGCAGTTTGTGTGTATGGGGCAGTGTGTGTGTATGGGGGGCAGTGTGTGTGTATGTGGGGGCAGTGTGTGTGTATGTGGGGGCAGTGTGTGTGTATGGGGGCAGTGTGTGTGTATGGGGGCAGTGTGTGTATAGGGGCAGTTTGTGTGTATGGGGGGGCAGTTTGTGTGAATGGGGGGCAGTTTGTGTGTATGGTGGGGCAGTTTGTGTGAATGGGGGGCAGTTTGTGTGTTTTGGGGAGGCAGTTTGTGTGTTTTGGGGGGGCAGTTTGTGTGTATTGGGGGGGCAGTATTGGGGGCAATGTATGTGTGTGTGGCTTTTTTTTTTAAATTATATATTTATTTATTTATTTAATTAAAATAAATAAATATCCTATGTCCCCCCTCCCTTCTTACCTTTACTGGGGAGGAGGGGGGACATACTTCGATCCCTGGTGGTCCGGTGGACGATTCATTGGTGGTCCCAGTGGGTACAGTGAACTCTAGCCCACGCTCCCGGGCTAGAGTTCACTCTCGCGAGATTTGGAGCGTTGCCGTGGTAACCGCGGCAACGCTCCAAATCTCACGAGAGGAGGACCCGGAGGAGCTGCAGGCTGAGCTCCGGGTCCTCTCTCTCTCTCCCTCCCTCCGCCGCCGGCCGCCCGCACAGTGCCTGCGGACTGGGGAGGGAGATCTCTGATCTCCCTTCTGGTCCGCAGGCACATTGCAGGGCTAGCACCTGCATGTGCTGACAGGGGAGGGAGACCGGCGGATTTCTCGGGGGGGGGCAATTGCCCCATTGCCCCCCCCCTGGATCCGCCACTGGTAGTAACCCTAGATTCCTGTAATCATTCCCTTAATTTTTGCCACTTTAAAAAAATCCAAAGTACTTCGGCACTTCCAAAATTCAGCACTTCGGCAATTCGGGTTCGGCACTTCCGAAATTCGGCAAATTCAGATATTCGGAAGCATCAGAATGTCCGAATTGCCAAAATTTTTCGAATTTAAATTCGGACTGAAACGAATTGCACATGTCTACTCCCTATAGCCCTTGCCAGTAACCATCAACTAATAATTCACACTTCCGCCACAATATACTCCCAGCAAATACAGATTTCAAAATGTGTTATACGATTCACATGATGTGAACAGAATGCCTTTTAAAGGTGCCCCTACCGACTGTAACCCATACTACCGCAATGGTATACTCACTCGAGCTCCGGCAAAGCCCCTGTAACCTACAGTATCCAAATATTATGCTTACTCTAACTCTCCCCACAATTTATATATATGAACCATGCCTGCTCCACCATCCCTAATTTCTAGAACTATACTGGCGCCAAAACTAGTTCTCACATTTTCAGAAAAAAGTAAACATTTCTTATTATGTAACAGCTTTCTAAACAACATTTAACCTTCCTTCCACTAAACAGAAATTGTAGGCATTATAAAGCCAAATTGCAAATTTTAGGCAAGAATAGATGATTTTGAAAAATTCGCCTACTCAGCTGTAGTGGTAACTTGACTATTTTTGCCAGGATTTTGCAACTTGGTTTTAATTGCACTAAATGGTTTACTGATTAAATCAGAGTTTTACTATATGTTATTCATGTCAGGGAACATGGCTCTCAATGCGTTTGTCCACAAATTAAAAAATATATGCCTATCTGGGATACAACAGGGTTATTTAATGAAGTGAGAATTCCAAGTGAATTTCAAATGTAAGGCCCGAGTAGCTAAACTGAAAGCATATATGGCTTAGAAAAAAGTAGTTTTTCATGTATAAGACTATGTTTTTTTTTTTCTAAATTTTGTTAGTGACACGGAATGTCACTACAGGAGTAAAAAAACAAAACAAAAAGAACAAACACAGGGCCTAAATTAAGATGGCGCCTGCCGTATTTCTCTCCCCCAATACACTTCTGTATGCCATGGCAAGGGAGAAGAGGTCCCTATATGCATGGGAGTTGCAGCAGACATCAGCACTTACCACCAACGGAGCCCCAGAGACATGCCACACCATAAAAGTAGCAGCCATATTAAGGTTTGATCCACCTCAGGTCAGTCTTACTTTCTGATTTATAATTAAGTGGGAGGAAATGGGGATCATGGAGCAGAGGGGATACTACTGTGATGTCCCAGCATGCCCTCACCCCACCTGCTGTATTGTGGGAGCTGTAGTCTCCCAGCTCGCCCTCACACCACCTGCTGTATTGTAGGAGCTGTAACCTCCCAGCATGCCCTCACACCGCCTGCTGTATTGTGGGAGCTGTAGTCCCCCAGCATGCCCTCACACCGCCTGCTGTATGGTGGGAGCTGTAGTCTCTCAGCACGTCCTCACACCACCTGCTGTATTGTGGGAGCTGTAACCTCCCAGCATGCCCTCACACCACCTGCTGTATTGTGGGAGCTGTAGTCTCTCAGCACGTCCTCACACCACCTGCTGTATTGTGGGAGCTGTAACCTCCCAGCATGCCCTCACACCTCCTGCTGTATTGTGGGAGCTGTAGTCTCCCAGCATGCCCTCACACCACCTGCTGTATTGTGGGAGCTGTAGTCTCCCAGCATGCCCTCACACCACCTGCTGTATTGTAGGAGCTGTAGCCTCCCAGCATGCCCTCACACCACCTGCTGTATTGTAGGAGCTGTAGCCTCCCAGCATGCCCTCACACCACCTGCTGTGTTGTGGGAGCTGTAGTCTCCCAGCTCGCCCTCACACCGCCTGCTGTATTGTGGGAGCTGTAGTCCCCCAGCATGCCCTCACACCACCTGCTGTATTGTGGGAGTGTAACCGAGTAAACTTGCAGAAGCCAGACACAGAGAGATGGATGCAGGTTTTCAGGAAGTAAGAGGTCTTTATTAACATACCGATCGGATCTCAGATGAACTAACGCTCCAAAACAGGTCTGAGGGGCAAACACATGGAGTACATGCTTTTTATAGAACTATAACTCCTCCCATTAATAGCTCCACCCGCACATACCCTTAACCAATCGGTGGACAGGATTTGGATTTCCTTATATGGGCAGACCACATGGCTCATCCGAAAGAAAGGAGAAAGGAGTGTAATTTCAGTTCCTGCATTCCTGCACATGCTCAGTACATTGATGACAGTATCTTAGCGACGTGTAACTAACTGATACAACATACACATATGCCATGTGGAAATCTCGGCCTACTAAATTTACATTCCACAGAAATTCCATCACATTCCCCCCTTTGATGCCTCTGATACAAAATTATTCCAGATGCATCACCAATCATAGTTTACCAACACCTCTCAAGTAGCCATGGACCAGAACAGACCTTGTAAGCATCTTAGCATCATCACAAACTCCTTCAGCATTCCTCATCCTTAATATGTTCTTTTTGGGCTAGGGATTCATATCTATAGACAGCCATTACATGAGCAGCTGTCTTTCTTTCTATAGTACTCTCTATGATACTACGTATAGATCTGACCACTAATGGAATTAGGCAGGGCAGAAAGAGACATAAGAATATAATGAATACTACTCATCCTCCTAACGCCTTAATCCCTCCAAGCTGCTCATACCAACTTCCAAACCAACTACTAGGATTATACCCATTCCAGACCTGAGTAGGTATATACATCAGTTTAACCATGTGGCTTGTAAGTTCAGCCACTGCCCGCCCTTCATCATCTATGTGCAAACAACAGTTGCTGAGATTAAACTTTCCGCATACACCTCCCTCTACTGCTAATAGTAGTCCAGAGCTAATCTATTTTGATAGATGGCTGATCTCATCCGAGTATTTTGCTTAGCTAGAAGATTAAGTGTTTGAGCTGTCTCATTAGTGATAATCTCAACCACCGCCTGTAGTTTTATAATACGGTTGAGCATATATATTGGGGTTCTATATCCATAGGTACCATCTTCTGCCCAAGTAGCAGGTCCATAATAATTAATAATGCATTGGGGAGGCCACTCATCATCTTCCCAGCTACCTATATTCAAGGATGCTCGCTTCTTTTTATGATTTACATCATAAACCTTAACTCCCAAGGTCTCTCCTGTCTCAATTGGCAACAAGAAGAAGGATGGTTTGAGCATACCTAATACACATGCCCCTTCCCAATCTTGTGGTAACTCTGAATATGCTTTCTTACCACAGATCCAATATAAATTTGCTGGGGATTTCCAATTGGATGTAGCAGATTAGTCAAACCATACCTCTTTTAAATGGGTGTAATTGGCAAACGGATTAGTAGGCTCTGAGACATTTGAAGCTGACCACCAAGTAGTATCTTTAGTATCGGCATTATAGGCTTTCTGTCCTAGACATGTTAACTCGCCAACAGGTGTGGTATACAATGGCCCTTTCCTGGCTAAACATACATGACCTATAATAGTGGTTTTTAACCGCCACTCTGATTTACCTCTAGTACTTACTTGATGATCAGACTGAGAAAGTATTTGTTGTTCATCTGTCTCAGAACCAGGGTACCATACTTCCTTTGCCTACCTTGGCCACTGGTCTCCCATATTAGTACCTCCACATACAAAGCAATTAGTTACATTAAGACTACCCGCAATACTCTCAGCCAAATCAATAAATAGGTTCTTAACATTATGGGGAATTTTATCCTCAACACTCATCTCCTCATAGAAGGAATGAAAAACCTGATGAGTTTGAATTGCTATCGTCTCAGTTTCAAGTCCTACATATATTATGGTCCCTGGATCTACTCCTGGAACCCAAATAGATTTCCATACGTATCAATAAAATGTTGTGGATTAGAGATGGTCATATGGACAGGATTACATTTCATAGACTTACAGTGTGGTGTACTGGGCAACCTTTGGATAATCATATCTTGATCCACTGTTTTTCCCCAGGTCGCCCACCCTACACAAGACCAATATGGACAAAAATTAAAATCCCTATTTGGGCAATCAGGATCAGTAGATCTTTTACTGGGACATAAATATTTATCATTAAACCCATAAATTCGTTCCCATTTAAGATTACCACATATATTGCAAGGTTTTCCAGTACCCGAGATCACCTTACATGCATCAAATAGTAGAATGCCCGTAGAATGTATGGTATTTATCACAGTCCTATTTATCAAGGTCCCTTGGGAGTTACTGTTCCGAATTACCAACCAAATTGTACGGGGTTGGAATTGGGGATCAAAACATTTAAGCTCTCCTGATATTGGTTTGCACACACTGTAATCTATATCTAAATATCTACACTTAGATACAGATCCCCTACACTCATACTGTGAGTGCCAAATGAGAGTTTGGGATATTTGGTTACCTGTTTTCGTTGTCTTAATGCAGCTAACACAACTCTGTATGTCCTCACCTTTACCTTCCTGAAAAATCACAAAAATGCCTAAACACATAATATAACATATTATTTCAGAAGTCCTCATTTCTACTCTTCGACCGTGCGACGGCACCTCAGCTTCCCGATTGTGAGGGCTGCAAGAATTGTCGTTCTTCTGATCCTCACTTTTCTTCACAGAGGTCCCTTTGAGACACTCTGGCTATGACATGTAGGCAGGTGGTCAGGCTTTATTATGGCCGTCAAAACACCTACTTGCTGATATCTGTTGTTACTTTCAACTAAGATGTCCCAATATCTCCTCGTATTATTTCTCACTCCGACTGAGTTACCCGCTTTAACCAGATCTTGCAAGGATTTTCAGGATCTGGAATAACTTGCCAAGAATCTGCAGCTGGTTTAACCCTAGAATGATGAATCCACGGAGTCACTTCTGCCACCTTTACAGCTGTTGGAGTAGATAAAAGAACAACATAAGGACCCCTCCACTTTGGACCTAATGGAACAATATTCCATTCCTTTATCCACACTTGATCTCCCGGTTGATAGGAATGAAAAGGTGGATATATGTTCACAGGTAACCTATCTTGCACCCGTTTCTGGGAGCTGTAGTCTCCCAGCTTGCCCTCACACCGCCTGCTGTATTGTGGGAGCTGTAGCCTCCCAGCATGCCCTCACACCACCTGCTGTATTGTGGGAGCTGTAGCCTGCCAGCATGCCCTCACGCCACCTGCTGTATTGTGGGAGCTGTAGTCTCCCAGCATGCCCTCAAGCCACCTGCTGTATTGTGGGAGCTGTAGTCTCTCAGCACGCCCTCACACCACCTGCTGTATTGTGGGAGCTGTAGTCTCCCAGCACGCCCTCACACCACCTGTTGTATTGTGGGAGCTGGAGTCTCCCAGCATGCCCTCACACCACCTGCTGTATTGTGGGAGCTGTAGCCTCCCAGCATGCCCTCACACCTCCTGCTGTATTGTGGAAGCTGTAGTCTCCCAGCATGCCCTCACACCACCTGCTGTATTGTGGAAGCTGTAGTCTCCCAGCTTGCCCTCACACCGCCTGCTGTATTGTGGGAGCTGTAGCCTCCCAGCATGCCCTCACACCACCTGCTGTATTGTGGGAGCTGTAGCCTGCCAGCATGCCCTCACGCCACCTGCTGTATTGTGGGAGCTGTAGTCTCCCAGCATGCCCTCAAGCCACCTGCTGTATTGTGGGAGCTGTAGTCTCTCAGCACGCCCTCACACCACCTGCTGTATTGTGGGAGCTGTAGTCTCCCAGCACGCCCTCACACCACCTGTTGTATTGTGGGAGCTGTAGTCTCCCAGCATGCCCTCACACCTCCTGCTGTATTGTGGGAGCTGTAGTCTCCCAGCATGCCCTCACACCGCCTGCTGTATTGTGGGAGCTGTAGTCTCCCAGCATGCACTATAGAGCCATTAACGTTACAGATTACCGTAGTACAGAGGAGGCATGGGAATCAGAAGTGTGTGGTTCTCCTCAGAAAATACCTCTAAAATTTCAAAGTTGTTCTATTTAAAATATTGATTCCTTAATTTTCGGCTCAAAAAATAGGGGTCGTCTTATTCATGAGGGCGTCTTATGCACAGAAAAATACGATAATTCCAGTTTGCGTATTTTTACAGTAAGTTTTAAATGCTCCTTGAATTCACTTAAAATTTTTACTTTAGTGGATTAATGAAAAAAATATCTTAAAGTAACCCTATAAGGTCAGGAACACAAACATGTATTCCTAACCTTATAGTATTAAAAACACTATTTAGCTACCGGGACCCACCTTTATTCAAGTGCCGCATGGGTCCATCAGAATTGACAATCTAAGCCAGTCATGTCCTAAGTTTAATATGGCCCCACAGGTAATTTGTAAAATCTATATGTTGTGGCTCCCAGTGAATCCCCGAGCACCGCTGAGGACATGCAGTATAATTAGGGCTTGGGCGAACGCACTTAGATTAATTTTAATGGTTCAAAGAATGTCAGGCAAAATGGTCGGCCCTCAAGCATGTTCACTTCATCAAATCCTGCCCTCTTTGAAAAAAAAGTTTGGACACCCCTGATTCAAGTTAATCCAATGCTTTCCCATTTAATTCATTTTGAAAAAATAATATGAAAAATGAATCTAAAAATATTAAATCAAGGCCCACATTATGTGTTAGAATACGGGATACTGAGTTTATTTTATGTCTCCTCTATCCAGTCTTCCATCATTGTATATGTTGCTGTGTTAAAACTATTCCTAATATTTTTTTTTCTTATAATAATGTCTGTTCAGTACTAGAAAAGAGGCATGCTGTGTTATATTTCCCTTCTCATGGCATTTCATGCAACACAATATTAAATCATTATACTTTATTATTTCTTGCAAATTCTCGGCAGCCAGTATGAAACAAGGAAAACTTATACAAATTTGAATTACAAATCGAGTACTTTCAGTGCTCAGGGCAGCGGGGAGAGGATCTAACAAACAGGAAGTAATACTGGCGTGTGTGATTTGTAAAAGCACTTTGATGCTCATAGGGGGTAATTTATCAAAATCTCCCGATTGCAAATCTGGGACACAAAATCTAAACAAAGATTTATTAAAGGAAAAATGCTGCAATGGGGTTCATTTTCTGTGATGAATTAAGCCCCTGTGTTTATATTTGTTAACACATCTAAGAGATAAACTAAAATCAGGCATATATTAGTAGAGGTAATGAAATTATATGTGCAGCCGGATGTAGATTCTAGCAAGCCATCCATGTGATTCATTGACTCATTGAAATTAAGTAACCTTTCCACTTAATATGAACTTTTACAACAGCACAAGAATTAAGTCGAATACGTTTGGATTTATTTGTGGTATGACCAGCACCAAATCTTTCATAAGGTAAAGCATTGATGAGTTTGAAGACTGCATGTAAGGTGGCGTTGATCGGGAAGTTCGCGAACGGTTCGCGACATCTCTATATATTACTTGCTTATTGGATCTAAACAAGCAGTTTACCTTGAGGTTGAAAGTTGACAAAATACCACACGAAGGTAGCCAATCACCTATACTAAAAATACTACTCCAACACGGAGACAGTAATGTACTTTGTCACTGTTCGACTCTTTAGGCTGAACAGTTCTGTTACATGGTTTATTCTTTTGCAATGGATTGACTGCATTGCAATGTTTTCAGTCCTGCAAGTATTCACCATGCCTTATTGCCGTGAGATCTGCGTATCTCAATATCTTGATATACGAGACAGCCCCTTGCAGGACCTGAGTGTCCTACCACAATGCCGATCCAATTGTTTCATATGATTTACAAAAAAAATACCCCTGATACTGGATGATTTGCAGCAAGGATTTGGGTGTGGACAAGTAGTGCCGGAAAAATGTGATAACATCCAGAAATAAAAATGTAAATTCCAGAAAAATTTTATTTGGTTGTGTAAACCTGGTAGTACCATAATAAATATGATCTTTCAAAACAGTGGAGATGAAAACCATCATTGTCACTTTGCCTAAAAAATAGCAATAATAGACTCAAGGAAACAGAATACAGAGTGTTACTGAAAAGGATGTGTCTCTGAAAGACGCACACTCTGTTACTGGATTTATTTTTATGTGCGAGGACAAGCAGATTGATTAGGAGCAGAAGGAATATCCAAGCTCTGTTTTTTCTGTAAACCTGCATCTGGCACAATCGCTATTCGCCAGATCTGTTCGGTGACCTCAGACGTCCCCTTTCCCAGCAGCCTGCTGATTAGAATGCCACGGCCCTGTCATTCCTCACAGAGGGACAAGCATAGTGCAACAAGCTGGCTGATTCATAATCACTGGCTGAAGTCAATCACATAGTCTCATCTTCACCTCGTCGCATTACACAGGCAATATTACAACATCTTCACAGCTCCTATATGCACGCAGTCTAGCCAGTGTATTAACTCAGGCTTATTTTATATTATATTCACTCAAATTTATAGCATTGTGTGGTGAAAAGAAAATTAAAATTTCAAGTGTTTATTTGGAGGGAGAGAGGTGTGTGGGAGATGTATAAAGCACATCTCCACTGGATTTTGGGCAGTGATAACATTTTGTCAAGGTGTTCAAAACATGTATACTTGGGTAGTGTATGTCTGCATGCATTTCAATCATCCTTTAATTAATGCCATACTGGAACATGCGTCTTAATTAATTTTCTTCGGACATAGCATCAAGTTTACATCAAATGCCAGGCTGTGCCTTGACAGCATCACACCAGCATATTGAGTTGTATGTTACATATCAGCATGTTGCAATTCCATGATGCATTTCATCATAAACAGATCAAATGTTACATGGGTACATAATGAGAACATGTAATACATGTTAGCATATTAAATGGACACCGTGTCATGAACACCACCACTCCCGGGTGACTTGTTTTAGTGGGTGAAATTCAATATTTGTCTTCAGTAGACGAAGGACAGGCAACCTTCGGAACTCCAAATGATGTGGACTACATCTCCCATAATGCTCTGACATTCATAATACTGGCAAAGCATCATGGGAGATGCAGCCCGCAACATCTGGAATGCTGAAGGTTGCCTACCCAAGAACTTCATCTTAAAGGACCACTCTAGGCACCCAGACCACTTCAGACCTTCTAAGGTTAACCCATTTTTTTATAAACATAGCAGTTTCAGAGAAACTGCTATGTTTATCAATGGGTTAAGCCTTCCCCCAAAGCCTCTAGCGGCTGTCTCATTGACAGCCGCTAGAGGCGCTTGCGTGATTCTCACCGTGAAAATCACAGTGAGAGCACGCAAGCGTCCATAGGAAAGCATTATGAATGCTTTCCTATGCGACCGGCTGAATACGCGCGCAGCTCCTGCCACGCATGCGCATTCAGCCGACGGGGCGGATCGGAGGAGGAGAGGAGGAGGAGAGCTCCCCGCCCAGCGCTAGAAAAAGGTAAGTTTTTACCCCTTTCCCCCTCAAGTATGTTTTCCTGGCACTATAGTGGTCCTTTAACACCACACCTATCGTAGAATAAAAGCTGCCACTACCAAGACAATTTATAATTGAGGAATGGGCAACCCCAAATAAATTCAATTCAAAACCCACAACACTATTTAGCAAAAATATATATGAAATCATTGTATTATGATATAAGTCTTTTCGGTAGCGTGATTCTTATACCAGACAAAGGCAGAACTTAATAATTGAACATTCATTATGAACAAAATATATTCACAGTGCTTATGTTACAAACACATTTTAAGACACCAACAAACAGAC